CTCTCTCTCTCTATAGGCATTCGGTCTGTAAACATTTGTGAGCACCCACGAGTACTTTCCGATCAACTCCTCCAGGCCTTCCACCACATCCTTCTTTCACATTGTTACAATCCCCCCGGAAGCACCCCACGAGGGAGTAGCCACCCAGCTAATTCCCCTGGCTTTCCATACACTCCTTGCCCATTTATCATTAAACTCCATTCTCTTAGACTCTTGTAGCAGTACAATGTCTGGGTCACACTGTCTTATTACCCTCACATTGCACTCTTCCTTGCACTCCCAATTCCCCTCACATTCCAACTAAGAATCTTCATTCCGCTTCTTTTTAAACCCCTTGTCACCTACCACTACTTTCCCCTTTCCTTCTGTCTCCCTTTACCCCGAGCCTCATGTCTCCTTCTATATCTCTCTTCAATCTCTCTACTTCACTCAATCTCCTCTTCTTTATTTTGATCTTCCCCTTCCTCTTCTGTAAGTTTTCTTTCAGCACATTCAAATCTTTCAACCTGCAACCTAGCTTCCCTACAAATTCTGCTATCATRTCTTCTCTCACCGAGTCCACCAGCCCTACCCTTCCTACAGAATCCCCTCCATCTCTATCCACCTGCCCTTTCTTCCTCTCCTCTGGTCCCACCTCTATTCTTTCTTCTCCATCCACCCTCCCTTTCCTATTACCTCCCTCCAACCTTGCTCTCTCCCCGTAGTCCTCTCCATCTCTACCCTCATTTATATTGCATCCGGTCAAGCTCTACTCTAACCAAAACCATTACTTTTGGCAATCTGAACTCCAGAAAGTGTGGTCATGACTTCTATACATAATTAGAATATCTCTTCCAACAGCTCACAGCCTGAGCAATAAACCCATCTTTTTTTTTTATGAATGAAGATAATTTTATTAAACCAAAGAATGAAGGCATTACAGGAAACCCATGGAGAGGCACGAGCTGCTACCTCTTCTAACAAAGTATTACATCAAATTAAAACAGGAAAAAAAAACAGAAATAAAATTACAGTGCAGCCCAAAATAAATGTTCCCTTGAAGCCCCTTGCTTAGCTAACCCATCGTCCCATCCGCTAAGGTATTCTTGATCTTCCCACCCAAAGAGAGGTAACAGTCATGCTTCTTGTGAGACAATTGACTTTCCTCAATAGGTCTTTGTATTGCTACATAGCTGAACCTGGATCTGTCAGCCATCCCACAACAATTTTGGAGTCTCCTTCAATTGACAAATTCTGAATTCCTAATTGTTCTACAATTTGAATACCTTGTACAGCCACTAAAATCTCAGCTCTATTAGAGTCTCCTATTCCCACGGGGCCTGAAAACAAGGCTAAAATGTTGCTATACTTATCTCTCAGCACCCCTCCTATTCCCGATGGGCCTGGATTTCCTTGGTTGCTACCATCAAAATTCAGCTTTACCCAACCTTCAGGCGGAAGCACCCACACTGCATGATTCCCTGTCCTTCGTATGACTATTAGCCACCGCTATCCAGTTTCTCCAAATATCATCGTAAGAAAATGTATGAAAGAAGTCCACAGTTCTCAACCAATGGATGGCCTTAGTTAAGATACAATCCTCTACAGCCTAAATGCTTCTTTCCTTTTCTTTGAATAACCTTGCATTCCTTTCTTCCCAGATTGTCCACAAGGCAGCTGCTCTAATACATCTCCACATAGTTTTTCCTTTCTTTGTAGGCCACACAAAAAAGGAAGGATCAAATAGCTGACTTACGTCTGCTGTCAGATTCCACCTACACCCAAACAAAGCACAAATCCAACTCCAAATAGCAACAGAAAAGGAGCAAGATACAAGTAAGTGGGAGCAATCCTCACCACTAGCCTTGCAAAGTATGCACCAGTTAGGGGACAAACACATGAAAGGCCTTTTCTTTTGCAAGCAATCCAAGGTATTGATCTAGAAAACACCTCCTAGCAAAAAATAATAATTTTAGGTGGAACAGGTCTAGACCATATCTCATTGGTTGGAAAACCCAATTGTCCCAAGGAAGAGCAAAGGGCCTTAAAAAAGGAAGCACATGTGAAGTAACCTTTTCGATGAGGGGACCATAATCTCACTCACATCCAATCTAAGAGGGTCCAAAAAAACATTACCAAGAAGAGACAACAGGTCTAAAACATTACTAAGTTCATCATCCCTCAAGCCTCTACGAAAACTAAAGCCCCAACTTAAGGATGAGGGTGAGGTAGGTGTTGGGAGAAAATGAGAGAACTTTTTCCTTGTAAAGGGAAAGGGAATAGAGAAACGGGAACCGGTCCTTAAGGGCAAAGGTACCCACCCAAGTGTCTTTCCAAAATAAAATAGACTTACTAGAGTTGACATCATACCTAACAAAATTGAGAAATTGAGGGAGGATACTCTGGATTGCGTTCCACAGAGTTGCCAATGTAGCTCGACGTGATACACCAGCATCCCATCCATTTTCCAATTTGTCATGTATACTAGCTATCACTTCATGCCACAACCTCTCCCTTTCTATGGGCCACCTCCACAACCATTTTCCTAAGAGAGCTTTATTCTTGAGAATTAACCTTCCTAATCCCAATCCACCCTCCTCTTTACTCCTACAAACTATTTCCCAGTTAATTAAATGATTTTTCTTTTCCTCCCTTGGATCCCAAAGAAAAATTCTCATTAATCTCTCCAACTTCTTAGCCTCCCTAATAGGAATCCTAAAGATAAAGAAAAAATAGACTGGTAGGTTTACTAGGGTGGTTCTCAATAGGGTCACTCTACACCCTAGAGAGATGTAGTTCTTTTTCCAAGAAGCTAATATTTTCTCAAACTTTTCCAAAACTAGGGTCCAAAAACTACTCTCCCTTGGGTTAGCCCCTAGAGGGAGACCTAGGTACTACAAGGGCCAAGAAGAAATGGGACAACCTAAACAATCCACCACAGACTCAAGAACCCTCCCATTCATAGTAACACCTACCACACAACTCTTATCCAAGTTTATCTTCAGATTGGAGACATTCTCAAAGTGTTATAGCAGGGCTCTGAGATTCCTCACTTCTCACCTATCACCCACTTCACAAAAGATTATGATGCCATTGGCAAACTGTAGGTGGGTCACTAGGACATTGTTCCTTCCTACCCTCCAACCTCTCACTGCCTCTTCCCTATCTTCCTTAGAAATTAATCTACTGAAGACATTTGCAACTAAGGTGAAAAGAAAAGGGGAGAGGGGGTCACCTTGTCTAAGGTCTCTACAAGTTGGGAAAAAATCTTTGACCACCCCACTAACCAAGACTTGAGTAATGGTAGGAGCTAATACAACCCTTTACCCAATTGCACCATCTATCTCCAAATCTACAACACCCAAGGACCTCTAGTAAAAAGCTCCAATCCACAAGATCTTAGGCCTTTTCTAAATCTAGCTTACAAGCAAAACCTTGATTCCCTGACTTTCTCATGTCCTCCACACATTCACTTGCTATTAAGATCTGATCCGTTATTTGCCTTCCTTGCATGAAAGCACCTTGTGCTTGACTAATGATGGAGGGTAGCACTACTTGAATTCTCACGGAAAGCACTTTATCCAGGATTTTGTAGATGCTTGTCACCAGGCTAATCGGCCTAAAATCCTTAGGGTCATTTGCATCTATCTTCTTTGGGATTAGGGCTAAGAAGGTAACATTAACTCTAGGGCTTACCTTATTCTTGTTTGCAAATTCCTGAAACACCCCAATAAGGTCTTTTCTAACCACATCCCGACAATCCTGATAGAAAGCCATGGTGAAGCCATTTGGACCAGGTTCTTTGGATCTATCCATTGAAAACACTGCCTGTTCGATCTCCTCTTCACTAAAATCCCTTTCTAACCAGTTTACTTGTTCTTCAGACAACCTAGTCCAATCCAAACCTTCCAATCTTGGCCTAATATTCAACGGTTTCCTATAGATTGATTTGAAATGATCCACGAACAATCTGGCTATCTCATCTTGGTTTGTGACTTCCTCCTCGTTCACCTCTAACTTAGCCACAAAATTTTTTTCTTCTCTCATTAGCCAATGCATGGAAGAATTTTGTATTTCCATCCCCTTCTTTAATCCATTTGTGTCTTGACTTTTGCCTCCAAGGAATTTCCTCTCTCAGAAGAACTTCTTCCAATTCCCTCTTTAGGTTTCTTCTCAAAACCCTTTCTTGCTCACTCATAATCCTTTGGGCTTCTTTGGAATCTAGTTCCTTAATCCTGGACACCAAGTTAATCTTTTGCTCCTCTATCCTTCCAAAGTGCTCCCTATTCCACTCTTTGATTTTGGATCTCAATCTTTTCAGCTTTTTGTGGAATCTCACTCCCTTCCACTTCACCCCTCTCAAATCTTCTCTCCACCATTCCCATCTTGCCTATGAAAAAATAAAAAAATACCTTCTTTACTTGTTGGACCAGGAAATCCAAAATATGTTTCATCAAAACTCATTATGTGATCTTGGGAAAAACTGAACATTTTATTTTCTTCCCACTTGTAGGTGCCATAGTGAAACATGCATAATTTAAAGAAATATCTATTCTTTTAAAGCTGATACCATGGAACTCTACAACGTGCCAAGGGCCACTAGATCATTCTAACACAATCTAATAGAGCTTATTTTCTTGAACAACTATACTTTAAGTTCTATTTCAGTCATCGATGAATGGTAGAGACAAAGTAGGTTCAATACCAGTTCCCGGTAAATGGTAAAAAAGAAGTAAGGTGGATAGGAACCAACGCTAGGGTTAACACTTTAGTAATCTTCATTTGAAAACTAACTTCAATAGACAATGATCAAATGCCAGGAGCTAGCTAATGGAAGCCAATATYTTGGAGCAAATTGGCAAACATACAATACAAGTTGTGTTGATTACWTAATATTCTGAATGTAAGAGAGTAAGAGACATAAGCAAGTAAATCTCTATGAAAGCAACGAACTCACAAAAAAGAGCCAACAATATTATGGCATGGAATCTCCATGGATCCCCCCCCAAAAAAAAAGTCACCTCATTATTGCCATGCAATATAGCATAGCCTGCATCTCATCTGAATCCAAAGCATCATCCATGGAGCCCCTGCTACAGAAAAGCAAGATGAATTTAAGAACAAGCACATAATTCCAATCAAATAGAGATCAACAGACAGAAAAAAACCCAAGATTACCAAAGATACCATAAATATTGGTCGCAAAAACTAATAGTAAATAATGGTGAAACACAAGAAAGTCAAATAAAAAAACGCAGGAAAACTAAAATTAGAAGTACAAATTTTTCTTTATCCCGATGAGCAGGTAATGCGTTACTTCAGATGAAATAAAATGATCACCTAAAGAAGGGGTCTTTCTGCTGAATTTCGACAATAGAAGCTGTAACTTCGACCACAATGGGAAGACATCCTCTGCTTCGCCATGCTGATATCTAATCTCACAAATAAATTACCCACAATCAAAATAGGGTTGTCAAATCAAAATATAGCTCGAATTAGTGTTTTGTTTCTTCTTCAACTAGGATTTTCTTTCTTACTCTTCTAAGAGCGGCAGCAACGGAGTCCGGAGAGGAAGAGAAGAGAGATTCCCTTACAAAGTTCCACTCATCCCAATTTAACCATGGAACCAGCTTGTAACCGCTTGGCTTTTCCTTCTGGCCATCGCCTTTCTGTTGAAACTCTAGCAGAAACTCCATTAGAGAGTGCACGTTAAGCCTGCAAGAAACATAAACCCTAAACCTTAACCTTCCGGTGGAAGAAGCTTTTATCTTTTAGGGTAAATTACACGGACGGCCCATGTACTATGAAGTCTGTGACAGATACCCCTGAACTTTGACAGTTAGAGAAAGACACCCTCACCCCGTTAGCCAATTGAAGGAAGGTATTATTTTACCTAAATACCCCTTTATTAAGTCATTGGATGCAGAGGCAATTATTCAAAATGACCAAAATGGCCATCTCACCCCAATGATCAAATGAGAGTTAAATATTGACACTCGAGACATAACCTTGGGAAAACCTTTGTGTTCTTGTTGAGAATTGAGAATTGTTCTCCGCCGGACTTGTTGGTTAAACGTCACCGCAGAGCAGACGAAGAAGAACGCCGGATTTGGCCACTAGGTGATTTTGTGTACGAAGAGGAAGTTTTCACTCATAATCGTTATGAAGGAAGGGGGTTTTCTTCGCTGTGACCATAGAAGAACGCAATTACGTCGCCATCGCTTGAGAAGAAGGTAAATTGAATATTACACTTATAATATGGGGCAACGAACTGTTTTCATACAAGATAATCAGTATTGGTACCCTTGTTCCTTTTACTTTCAATCATAGAAATTTAGGACTGTTTTTGTCAAACTTCCTCTAAAAAGCCTTGACCTTGTTAATGATCTAAAAAGAGGACAGAACTTAACCTTGAATTCATCATTTATCATCTCATGAAGTTCACAGTCAGGTTTATTGTGTTAGGCCTGAGGTCATGCCTGCGGGTCTAATTACATGACCAAGCCCGACCGGGGTGCAGGTCGGGCCATCGGGCTACCCGACCCATGAATATGTCTAATTATGAACTTATTAATTTGTGTATGTTTCTTATTATCAAACTTTTTTTTTCTTTTTTGGGTTTATGTTGATGGGCATCATGATATCAAATGGGGATTTTTTTTTTTAAATAAATGGGGATTTTTTTTTGTTAAGGATAATAGTATATAGGGTAAACAAACAGATGAGGATGTTGCATATGTTTTTTTTTTTTTTTTTGTGAATAAGTTAAGTGATATCATCAGGTTAAGTTATTATTATTGGAGGTGAATATAAAGAAATATTCGAATGCATGCAGTGTTTGCGCAAATGGAATAGCTTCTACCAGCACTTGATTCTCATTCCACAGTGCTTGGAGTCATCTATTGGAAGTGAAAGACTATTGATTAATGGATTAAGTGATACCATGGAAAAAAATCAAGTGAATGACTAGTGATTACTGAATATATAGATGAGGATGACTAGTGTATTTCCCTTTGATTTAAACTGATAATCAAATCAATCGTTGTAAACAATGGGGAAGTGAATGACTAGTGTATTCCCCTTGGATTCAAATCGATAAAGCAATCGGTGCTTTACGTGTAGGTGATACCATTTGTAAACCATTAGTTGTTTATTCGTGTATTTTGATTCAAACTAATAATAATCATCACCCGAAAGCTACCATCAAATAGAAATGAAAATTCAAGTCACCAAACCATTATACTTAGAGAATTTGTATACTCCAAACAAGTAGAACTTAAACAATGCACTAAGAGGAGGAATTCAACTCATGACTAGAAACAAATATAATTGAAAACTCATATGTTCTGTGACTAACCACAGCGTAAGTTAACTTGTACTCATCCAACTATATTGTAGTTCATTATCATTAAGGTTCCAACATCCTAACCAAAATAGTCATGTTCTATCAACATGGTTAGCATTCTCCATTCGTATTATGCAAAATGTAATCTCTTACATCAAATAGATAGACATACAAAACAAAACGAGTCTAGCCAGATTCCTTTCATCATGGTTCCCTACTTCCTAAACATAAACAATAGAATGAAACCAAATATAAGCATGAGTTTTAAGAGGTGCATGAATCCCAAGCCTTCAGCAATTATCGTTTGCTCAGACTTGTTCTCTAGTGTTTTCACCCGATTGTCAAGCTCGGCGACAAACTTCTCAATCTCCGCCGTATGAAAAACTTGGCCATCTTTAATGTATACAGGTGAAGTAACACAATCTTGGTGGTTGATTGGAACAACCGTTTGAAAAAGTCACATGGTTTAACATTCGGCTGTTTACCCTGCATAAAACACACTTCTTTCAATTTAGTATGAACAATAGCTATGATGCCAACAATAAAGAAAGGTAGAGCTTACAACTTTGCAAGGGCAGGTATAAGAAAAACAACTTTTGTGGACCGGAGGTGGTCTCAGACACCCTTATCACACACTTCTTACCACAGTCACAAACTCTTGTTTCAAACTTCAAATCACTTGGTGATTGGAGTGTAAATGTTGAATGCCACTCATTGCTACATTAAAAATAGAAGAGTATAAACTTGCAAACATTCACAGATTAAATTCAGCAAAATAGAATAAACTTCAATATAAGACATGAGTATTAATATATGGAACATTGACCTTCTTTCCTGAACATTGAACACTTCATGGGAAGTAATATATACAACATTAAACCCATTTCATGAGCATCAAACATGGCTACAACTCATGCCAACTAATATATAGATCATTAATCCATTTAGTGAACATCAAACATGGTTACACCTCATGACAATTAATATATAGATCATTAGAATACAAAACAACATATCATTCAACTTAGGGAATTCAGTCATGGTCAAATGGCCCCTGAATAACTTAGATGATATACCCACAACTACCAACATCAGCCATGTATTTATCCTCAAGTGATTGGACATACCAAACATATTCAAAGAATAGTAGTAAGCTTCAAATACACTGATGACATCAATTCACCTTCATAAATCCTTTCTAATCTTAATTACATGTTAAGTTCACATTCACAAAGAGTTGACAATTCAAAATGAATGCCATGCAAAATAGTTAATGAATTTTTTAAGTCCCTTCCTAAGGGTTTCATGTCTCATTATATATTTGGTGCAAACTGGATAAAAATAATGGATTAGTCTTTTGGAAATTAAGTAAAGGTTTCATTCCTATGAAATTGTAGAGCCATAGATAATGGTTAACATTACAATAAACATCAAAAAACCCTTATACGTTCATGAAGACAAAAGCACCAATGACTAGCAAACCCTACAAGATATATGAAGATTATTTGAAGACAAACCCATATACTTTCATGAAGACAAACCCTATCAGCAACATTAAATCTCCTTTTCAACCTTTAAACCCTAACCCTTGGTCATGGTGGAAGTGAATTCACTGAAACATGAAGAGTTGTCGCCAACCTTCTCTAAGAAGAAAATACCTTTGCTAATCTCCACTACAAAAACCCTCTACAAACTTGAATGCGCCAGAGAAATGAGATAACTATCGCCAAAGCCAAACCTTAAAATGATGTAGGGGTAAAATGGTTCGAAAAATGTCAAAAGTGCGGTTTGGGTATTTAAAAATGTTGGAACAACGAAATGTTAACTTTTTTCTCAACAGTAACTAATGAAATGCTAATGAATGGGGTCAAAGTTTAGGGGGTCTTTGCCGCAAAAAAAGTTCAGGAGGTATTTGTCATATACCCCATAGTACAGGGGGTCCATGTAATTTACTCTATCTTTTATTCCACATTGTGTTATAGAAGAAAAGTGTGAAATATCAAAACTCCCCCACCAAATTTTCTAAAATATCAATAATACCCTCCGCTAAAATGAGTCAAGTGCTTTAAAACTAGGAAATCGGAAAAACTCGGATTATTTTCGAGTCGATCCAAATTGTAACTTATCCGAGTATTGGCCAAGTTTGGAAGTGCTTATTTGAAATATAAGTGATTATTGAATAAGCACTTATAAACATTTGGTGAAAAAACATTTTTTTTTAAACAGGGGTAATATAAGTGTTTTTTAAATGGCACGGCGGGCCAAGATAGGCCAAAAATGAAATAAGCACTTAAAAATAAGCCTAAAAATTTGGCTTATCTAATAAGCACTTATTTTGGGCATATTTTCCAAACGAAAACAAGTGTTTATTGGTGTGGTTCCGACCCAAAATAAGTGCTTATTTTTAAGCACTCCCAAAGTGGAATATATGCAACTTAATAGGTTGTTGTGGAGAGCTCTGATCTCCTACCCACGGGACATTACATAGAATGTTCGATATTTACATGTTATCATTCATGGGGAGATGTTCTCAATGCATAATTATAGTACCCTATGGGTAGGAGATCCGGATCGACATAATGCTATTTTCCCTTCTCAGTCCCCACTTACAAAAATAATACTAAATTCAAATTTGATCCCGTTAAATTAAGGGTGATCCAAATTTGCTCATTTATAATTACATTGAATATGGATTGCCCTTATCTTGATATCATTTACTGTAATAATATATCCTCAAAATTTATATTGTATCTACTAATAAATATTAGTAAAGTTGGTTTGAATTTGTGTTTTAGTAAAAAGTCATTATTTTAGGAATCGTACAAGTTAATTTCAATATAAATATGATTATGGTGGTGGTATGATACAGGAACAACTTTGAAAATCAAATTCCTGTGAATTTTGATGAATAACACTTAATTGGTTATTAATTTTATGATAGTTGTTGATTGGTTGTAAGGTTTTTCCGTATCATGTCTGCCTGATATGAACCAATTCATTTCATTGCTATTTCTTTAATCTTATACTCAAAAGAATCAACTGCATCTTTTTTGTTTTTGATAAGTACAGAAAGTAGAGGTACAAACATAAACTAGATTGATTCATGACGCTTGGTAGCTAGCTAGGGTGGCCCCAAGCGTCAAAAAAACAGATAAAGGATAACTTTGAATCAGAAACACTAGTATTGAACACCTTAATTCTGTGACCTAGGTTAGCTAAACAGTCTGCTACAAAATTCGCTTCCCTCATGACATGCACGTAGGATATGTCGAGGTTGATGACAATACTTGAGTCTCCGATTATATATTTAAATTGGGGAAACTTGGTAGCGATTACATGGGTTGGAGAGCAGCCTTAGCTTCTGTTAGGGGTGGATTCCAGCCGAGCCGAGCTGAATAATATAAGGTTCGAGCTCGGCTCAAGACTGTTCTACAAGGTTCGAATTTGGTTTAAGTTAGAGTCTTGAGCTTAAGTTCAATTTGAGTCAAAAACTCGTAAGCTCGAGTTTGATTTTGAGAAAAAATGTTTTATAAAATAAAAATTATATATAAAAATATTTTTATTTGATATTTAAAAAATTAAGAATTATAATATATATATATATATATATTCAAGCTGGTTCACGAGCCTCACGAGCCGAGCTCTATTAGGTTTGAATATCTCGACTCATTTCTTAATCGAGCCTGTAAGTTAGACTCGAGCTCAGCTCAAAACTCGGTTGAAACCAAATCGAGCCAAGCTCGGATATCTCCTGAAAAACTTGACTCATTGCCACCCCTAACTTATGCTTCGTTGAAATGCATTCTCCAACATCTCGATTGCTTGTCTTATTTTTTGAAGCATCAAAATTTACTTTCAAATAACTTCGATCTGATTGTTTCCAACCTAATCTTCTGGATTGGGGGGCATGTGGATCTTATTTTCCACCCAAAATTATGTTTTTATCTTATCTAAAAGAAGATGGGTTGGGATGGATTTATTTTGAAAAATTTTAAAGTTCCTTATTTTCCAAATATTCCATAAGGTTATACTCCCAATCTCTGGACTAGTCTACATGTTTTTAGTTCTTTTACACTTTATCCCACCATTCGACGAGGGATTCTCTGTCATTAGGTTTTATACTTTCATTATTTAGGGAATTCCATATTTGCTTAGCTTTATTACATTAAATAAACAAATGATTGATGTCCTCTCCTCTCCACAGAAAGGACAGCTTGAGTCATTACCCATTCCCCAATTTTTGAGTCTTACCTTTGCAAGGATTTTACCTTTTAATACCAAGTACGTAAAGAGTTCGAATTATGATAGAATTGGGGAAATACTTGTTGCAGAATCTTTTCCTTATTCCACATTTTTGAATTAGTTATGAACTCGCTAACCACAAGGTTTTCCTCCTCCTGGTTAGTATTCGAGTTATTTCTTATATGGGAATTTCCAACCCATGCCCATGAATATTCTTTTTGGCCTTGGCTTCCCATAGGTTCTCAATTTTTAAATATTTATTCTTGATCACTAGAACTCATAGATTGTTTGGTTGGATCAAAATTTTCCAACCTAATTTAGCTAAACTCATTGCATTTACTCAATGAAGCTTTTTTAACCCCCAACCTCCTTTATCCTTTGGTTTACAAATTGTGTCCCATTTAACAAGATTTATAGTTTTAGTATTATTTTATTTTCATAAAAATTCTCTTTGTTTCTTTTCCACATTCTCCGCAATGGATTTTGGGTGTTTAAAGATTCTCATGATATACTGGGGCATTATGCTTATAGATGTCTTT